ACTAATAATAAATGTTTATTTAATAAAATCAATATGTCTTTCGATACAAGTAATACATATAATTATTAAATGTAACATATGCCTCCTTTATATTACGAGCTCCTGCGAGTTTAATATTTTAATATTTGTTCTAATTCTTGCTGTTTTCGTTGTCTTGCATGCGGAATTAATTGTTTGTAAAATTCACTTTCTTTCATATTTACCAGGTGTGTAGGTCGAATAAGTTTTGCTTGGTATAAAGTTGAAATTCCCCTTGCGGTATATAATTCGAAAACTCGTCGCAAAATCTTTTTTTGCAACACAATTTTATCTTCGGTTATCCATCCACGGTTGGCCAGTAGATTTCCCAAATAATAATAAGTTTCCAGTCGGTATGTTACCTTATTAGTTTTAAACTCAGTTCTTTTAATATTTTCTATTATTGTAATTAATCTTTGTTCTTCGAGTTGTTCAATGTAGCTAGGAAAAGGGATTATCTCTGACGAAGTGTGAACAAGGTCTTCTTGGCATTTCTCGAGTGTTGTTTTGTTGAAGCATTCATGTACCACGGATGGTATTGTCATGGTTATTGTATTTTCTGAATTTGAAACAGTTATTGCGGAGGAAGTAATTTGTAGGATTTCATTATTTTTAGCTTCTTGTTGCCATAATTCCAAGAACTGGCATAATGATTTTTTTTTAGATTCTTTGAGTAGTGCTCCATAAAAATTTTTTTTTTTTTTTTTTTTGTGTATATATTTATATATATATATATATGCGCATATGTAAAATAAATAACCGCATATAGTTAAAATAGATTAGGCAGATCGTTCATGATACAATTTCAATCTTTCGCTATTAATGGGAGTTTTCAGCACTTTATCATCCATTGTCCTTATCTTATAGACACCATTGCCTAGAACATCATGTACTATGTAAGGTCCCTTCTATCGCTCTTCCAATTTCCTTTTGTCCCGTAAATTGCTCTTATATAATAAAACTGAGTCACCTCGTTTAAATTGTGCCTCCTTTAAGTTTTTATCATGTCGATTTTTTTGTTTTAACTGTGACTGTTCTATATTTTTCTGAGCTTTTGTTTTATTATCCTCAAAAGT